CCCCAAAACCCCAAAACCCCTTTTGCTAATAATATCTTGAAATCAGATAAAGAATTAAAATCAAGATATAAAATGAATAGCGATCAATTGAAATATGAACAAGACAGGAAAGCCAAGTAGCAATATTTGGTCGATCATGTGCTGAGTAAAGGCTATAATCCCTAGGAATTTGCTCTGTATATGCAAGAAAAAAAGGAAAATGGGGCAAATGTAGACATGTGGACCTTTGCACAGATATAATATGTAAATCTTAAATGCATAATAATAATTTTGATTCAGATGGTTGAGGAATTCACCCATTTAGCCAAGCCAGATCTATCGAGATCTTCGATAGGCCAATCCTAACAATAATAGCAGCAGCAACTATAGCAGCAATAACATAACAACCCTCCAAGATACAACATAATGGATAGAATGATGCAGATCTACTCTTAGTAAGATGACTCTTAAATCTAGCAATAGCCTCACGTTCTAGATTAAGTTTCTTATGATGAGCCTGATTTTGATTAATTACAGCATTAGAGTTAATCCTAGCAAAGATTAAGTAAGCTATAAAGTAATGATAATCATTAATAGCTCATATGCAAGTTAAGGAGGTATTCCAGGATAGAGTGAAGATTATCAAGACCTAAACAATCATTCCTACACCACTTCTCTAAGCCAATCAAAGCAAGCTAGATGTTTATATTCTTGATGGACTAGTAGAGACAATAAAGAAACTACTAAAAGGATTTTAGAATCTAACCTTCAGAATTTAGCTACCAGCTCTACAATGGGATGTGAGAAGAAATGATTAGGATTTTAACACATTGCACAAATATCTAGTAAAAACTTACCCAAATATACTTATTCCTCCAATATCATAATTTAAAGGCCAAAGGAAGTTCGATACAGTTTTTATTAAGAAAAGAGGTAGAATTATTGAGAAATTCCTTAGGTCTTGTTTAAGAAGTGTAGAGCTTAAAGGTTGCTAGGCACTTGTATAGTTCTTATCATCAACTGACAAAAAGGACTATGAAGCACTGATAAAAACTTTGGAAAGGGAGGTGACAATTAGTTAAGTAAAGTAATACATAACTCAGTGTGGAGAAATCTAGATAAATGAGAGTTAGTTTTAGTATTACGTTGCTGAGAGTCAGAAATACCCAAGTTTTGTAAAGTAGTTTGAGGGTAATTATAGGAGACTTTACTAGTAAATGAAGAGACTTGGAGAGGATTTGAGTAACATTAGCTAAACTTTGCAGAATGTTCATGAAAGTGTAGAGTCTTTATCCCAAACTTATCAATAATTTAACCCAGAAAAAGAAGGCTAGGGATTGCCAACCTTGCTTAATCTAGTTGCCAAAGCAATGAACCTTTGGTCTCAGTCCTACCTAAATCAAAAGCAGGTGATAGGTGAAAACATGACTCACTTCTTTTAGTACTATGCTCTATATGGTGAACAGATTTCAGAGTTTTACAAGTAAATAAGCACCAGCCTAGAGGACCTTACCAAAAAAGAGAAAGCACTCAATGAAAGGAAAGAGAGACTGTTCAATTCCAAGGATATCGGTACCTGGGATCTTAAACAGCAAGCTGGGCAACTAACTCCTGAGTAAAAGCAGATACTACTGAGTGACAAAGCTTAGGCGATGCAGGTAATGCTCCCAGTAGAAACAGGATTATTAACAGACCTCAAGGATATTTTCACAGTTCTGGTATAATCGTTCAAGCAAGAGATTTCGAGACAAGAGGATGAGGCTTATGTAGATATTAAGAATTAACTTGATGTGATGATTGAACCTATAATAAAGAGTTATTAAAATCACTTGATGATATGGAATCAGTTCCAGCAAAAACTAAGAGAATATTGATATTATTTTACTCACTTAGATTCTATCTTAAAATTGAATAAATCTTAATCTTAATTTCTTAATTTATTATATTATCTCTGAAATGAGAAGAGCAATTATCAATAAGCTAAAGAGTTCGACCAATCAATCAGAGTAAGTCTCTCCTGAATAGATCAGACTCTTCCCCTCCACTGAAAACGGCGCTGTCATCTCTTAGAAAGAATTCTAGAATATAGACCCTAATGACCTCGAGATCTATGTGGTGAGACCAGTCAAAAAGATTGTCTCTGTGCTCTCTCATGTTGTAAATAAAATTCGCAATCCTCATCTCTTTACTTTCAGGAATATCTATTTGAAGTCAAGGTTAAGAACATGCTAAGATACAAGGTGCAAAAGAGGTTCAGAGACTTCGACTCCCTCGATTAGGTGGTATGTATATTCTTCTAATTAAAAGTGTGATAGCTTAAAATAAGATTTGAGAATCTGAAGTTCCCTGAAATCCCTTCTAAGACTCAGATATTCAAGAAGGAGCAGACCAGAATGAAGTATTACGAAGAGTTGTTTAGCCAGTTCAAGAAGTATGCCATAGAATACCCAAATATGAGGTAAAAGCTACTGATCTTGATTTATAAACTGCTAATAACTGAGTCAGTACCCATCAAAGTGTGCACTATTGAGAAGCAAGATCAGTAAAGATATGACTCTCTAATGGGCAGTGGAATATCTGATGGGAAGCATGGAGAGGGGTTGTTTAGTTTGGAGGAAGAAGAAGAAAATGAGGAAATGTAGAATGATTTTTCAGTGTTTTTAGGATATATGGAGGATAATACTGAAAATACACTTGCCTCGGAAAGAACTAGATTTGGGGCTACAGAGGTGTCTGAAAGACCTTCACAGTGTAATTAATACATTTAGGTCTTAATCAGTTCTAGAGGTGATTGAGCAGGAGCGGAACAGAAGAAAGACCAGAAGGGGAAGTATCAACTAAGAGAAGATTGATAAGTTCAAGGACATCGATCTACTGGAGAAGTCCAAAATATAGAAGGACGTCGATTTATACCCGGGCATATTTCATCAGACTAACAATGGCATTTCTCAACTTAAGAACAGAGATGTTCTGCTCGGATACTGGTACTTATAATTTGTAACATCTCTTTTAGTTGGGTTAAGCTGCCGATGGTGAATATATGGCAGAAATTCTTTGCTAGAATTCAGGATTCAGCCATTAAGTTCTGCAAGGATGTGGAAGTTAACGAGTTTACAATCTGCTATGTAATCTACAACTGCTTAATAGAGACCATTAACATCAAAATACCCGAGTGGGACAACAAGAATCACCAGGCTTTCATCATTAGACACGAGTTTGACGCTGAGTGGCTACTAATAGCTTTGGAAGATGAGAAAACGTTCTTTGAAAAGAGAAAGGAAATCCTGGGGAAGACTTTGGAGTATTCCAAGAACTCTATGGACATTATTAATGAGACGAACAGATATGCTTTTGGTAAAGTCCAGATCAAGATAAAGCAACTGTGCGATGTCCAAAATATAGGCAAGTTATTCGTAAGAGTGAGGCTGGGACCATACTATTACGAGACTAAAAGAGTCAAAGCTCCTTCTGCTAATAGTTATAAGTTCAATCAGAACTTTATAATACCTATCACCAACAGATTTGACCAGATTTACATTGAACTAGTGAGCTACATTACTTCTGGTTTATTCTAAGGACAACACAAAGAAAATGTGATAAGAGAATTCTGTATTCCTTTGCCCTTTTTGAAGCAGGAGACATTCAAAGACAAACTCATTTAATACTCGCTTAACCTTGAAGACATCAAAGTCATCACACATGATAACCTGATGCAGAGATTGGGCATGCAGCAACGACATGAAAACGACAAACCTAACCATCCTAAGTTTGAATTGCAAATCACTGATCTATCTCAACTTACCACTGTGATAACTTTCAACCCTAACAGAGATGTAGTTGAAGACAGACCTAGGCAAAAGGAATACTCTAGAAAGCAAATCAACATAGTCATATCTAAGATGGTTCTCACAATATACAAGATCACAGATATTGAGAACCTTGAAAAGTACATATTCTACTTTCATTACCCGAATCTGTCTAAGTTCCTCAGAATTTTCCTTGTCTTCTTCATTCTCTACTTCGACTCTTAATACCTACTCTCTTATGTACTTGGAATAGTCATCCTCATGTTTATATTCTAGAACGAACAATGGCAGCGTTATACGATGCCTATCTTAAATATGATATTTTTCAGCAGTAAAAACGAGTACTTGAATGAAGAGAAGGCTAGCAAGATCATTACCTTTAGATAAGACTCTATTAAAGCAAATACCAGAACTATTGTTAATTCTACAATAGAGACAGATAAAGATATGAAAAAGAAGAGCAAGAAAAATTTGTACCATAATGGAAACTAAAAGGATGATGATCAGTAATTCGAAGAAAATACTGAGCAAGCAGAGAAATATGAAAGAAAAAAGAACAATATCTTCTAAAAGTACAGAGACCTCCAGGACAAGATATCAGTAGTAGTCTTTTTCTTTGACATGATAACTGATTTCGTTGAGAAATTCACCATGCTTTTGACTTGGCAAGATTAAAATGCTTCAAAGTTCTTACTTGCCATACTTATTGTGATATTCCTGGTTGTATCATTTTTACCGCTCAGATACTTTATAATCCTAGCTATTTTGAAGAAGTTTAACAGAGGCTCTTCCTATTACAAGCGTAGGTATACAGGCAATAAAGAGGCTATTAAGATTGAATTGAGAAATTTTATGCTAGCTAATGGCTTCCTTAAGTATGATGAACTGAGGAAATTTGGTGAACAAAAATGGATGCTTTCACCCTGGCCACTTTAAAGAGCTTTTGAAAAGAAACTTATCAATTATCTTTAAGATAAGTTGTACATTCTTGTACCGAAAGGCTTTACCTAGGAGTTCAAGAATCCATCAGAGTTGATCGAGTCAGCAGGCCACATTAACTAAGTCTTGTAGCTAAGGCCTAGAGATGAAAATGAGTGGGAACTTAGAAATAATAGGAACCTTTACAGAAAGAGTCCTAACCCTCTGGTATTTCTTTACAACTTTGTGATGAATAACATCTCGTCATTCATCTACTTTGAGAAAAATAAGAAATACCTTAAATTAGACGAGTGTCTGTGAGTGGAGTGATCAAATAATTCTAATTTATTTAGCTATCAATCAATAAATGAACAGTGAATACTATTAATAATTTCTAATAATCTTAATTTAATCATTCTATCTATCAGTTAGAGTCTAAGTCTGTCTTAACTTGCTAGCATAGTTTTTGAACTTCAATCTTATTGAATTGTGGGTTTTTAATAATTGCTTCCTCGAATAAAGCGTTAAGATGATCATCTTTGTATAGTCTTTAATCAACTATCCTCTAAACTAACTTCAACTTTAGCTCATTCATATTATCACTCAATAAATTAGCCTATTTCAACTCTTGCACAGCCCTATGTCATAAATTGGTTCTAATAATCTTACTTTTAATTGTGATCAATCGGATTAGGTGAAGACATTTGCTTTTGAATAATATCGGTCATTCTCTGATTTTAAGCGATTAGATTTTATACTTCTTATTAGTCATAAGTAGTATGAGCACCAGTCTGATTATACGAGCGCATGTCATAAGAGTGACCTCTTGTCCCTAATTATTTAGGAGTAATGTTCAAGTTAGCTGTTTGTGGCCTGCTTCTGTTTTGAATCTTAGGCTGATTACTTTAGAGTGCTGAGATAAGTAGATTTTATCTTTTTGATGAAGAAGGTCTCGTCATAGATCCTAATCTATTTTGAGGCGTTCCTTCACTTGCTGTCAAGTGATCATAGAATTCATATCTGTGCATCTCATAGTCTTTAATTGGTGAGTTCTTGCTCTAATATTTGTGAAGTAATTCATCTAGGATGATATTCTCATACTTTTAAGAATCGGTTTTAGTCTTCCTCATTTTTACATACTATATTTATGAGCTTAGTTAAGATGATTATGGGCTTAGAAGTATAACTTACGACTCTGTTTGCGAATCCCTCGAGAGAAGTTTTCTTGTCATAGTCATCTGGCTTTCTAAAAAATTTGCTTGGGTAAACGAGTGGATCAGTTGGGTTCTTTTTTCTATCTTGGATTGTTCCTATAGAATCTATACGTCTTTATAGTGAAGCTAAGTTCTTAATATGCTCTTCAAAATGAAACATATTTCTTCGCCTGTTTTCATTTAGCTTTTTGCTCATATGAAAACTTTTCGGCTTTTGATGATCCACACCACCCTTCTTCAAATTCTGCACTCTCCTAAATGTTTCTCTTATTTCAGCATACTCAGGTGCAGTACCTTCTCTGTCATCAATTATTTTTCTCTTTTTTCCATAAGTTGAGGTCATTATAGAATGTTATGAAGAAGGGTAGAAATGATTGAGTCCTGTTTCATAGATCTAAGTGTAAGCCTTGTTTGTTCCAAAGTACTCTCCACCTTGATCAACATGAGCTCTTGGTGGTTTAATGTTTACAGAGGGTTTGACTTTTGAAAGAGCTTTCTTGTGGTTGTAAAGCTAACTATAGATGTGCTTTCTACCACCGAGATTTCTATCATCTAAAGGTATTGCCATTATATTGTTAAAAATTTAATTTAATAAATGGAAGAATTACAAATTTAACTTTAACACTAAAGTACACCAAACCGATTGAACTTTTTTACTAATTATTTATAGTCAAGGAGCAAGTATCTAAACTTGAGAAGAAACATGACTCTAAACTATTAGAAATATTAGCTTGAATGGAAAGGATAGAGTCACTTTAATACATTAATCTTAACAATGGGAATACTATTCTCCAGGCTAGCTGAAATAACAGTAAAGATGAGGTTATTTCCAAACTTACCGATGATATCAGTAATCCTTAAAAAAACAATTGCTGTGAATGCTGCTTGCAATTTAAGGTACAGATAGATTGGAATTTGGATTAAATTAAAAAACTTACGATGGATGTGAAATCTTAAAAGAAAGAGATTAAAAACTAGTAAAAGATGAAGCAACTTGAAGGATCAGAAGATTAAAATAGCCTCGAAAATAACAATAAGCAATTAGTTTTACTGAAGGAAGAGTTTCATGCCTTAAAATCTCAGATGGGGATTCGGATGATTCAATTTGAAAGAGAGATCCAAGCAAACTCAAAACTTAGAACAGCACACTCTCAAAGAGACTTCCCAGGTTCATCAACATCAATTGAATAAGATGTGGCTAATTTGCAATTACAGATTTAAAATCTTTAGAAACCCTTGATGACAGAGGTTACAAATCTTAGAAGAGAAAATGAGAATATGATGAGGGAGATTGACAGACTCATGACTCAATCGAGAGAACTAGCTTACTAAGTTCAACAGTCAAAGAGAGATCCAAAATCACTCATAAATCAAAGCTAAATGAATTTACTGAATGAGCAGACTTCATAGTAACAATTTATGAGTAAGAGGAAAAGTCAGTACTCTAAAATGAAAAGTATCAAAGATGTTTAAATACTCAACAGCGATTAGATAGGTTAAGATTAGCTATCTCCATCAAGGTAGCAAATACCTTTATTGAATTAAAACCTGAAAGATATACTTACTACCACTGCATCAGCAAGCAAAAATGTAGAGAGAGTATTTACTAAATATCGAACAGAGCATTAAAAATCAGCTAAGAACTCAGGCTAACTTAATAATGGAATAATCCATACATTAAAAAGATTTGAAAAATAAATGATCTGATAATCACAGTTTATTTATACACTTATGTTTTTTTTAAATTTATAAATCTTATTCAATTTCTAAATAAATCTCTTATGGGGTTTTGGGGTTTTGGGG